AGCAAAGTAAATCCGATTAGCCGATCACCTCCGAATGCAATCCGTAACCGGAAAGCCAGTGTGAAAGTGCTAAACGAGCAATAAGAAAGTAATGGCAGAGTGCTCAAAGCAAGAAGCCAGTAACCTAGCCAGTCACAGAGTGAGAGAGAGAGCCCCCTTTTCGGAAACATCATGGGCGGGCTCTATCTCGCGAGCCAAGCTTCAAGAGAGAACAGAGAGAGAGAGAGAGAGAGAGAGAAGGGGCAGGATGAGAGGAAGAGAAAGGAGGGAAGAGGGATCGTTGGGTAGGATGAGGAAGAGTAGGTGGTGGAGGTGGAGGAAGAGGGTGGAGAGAAGCACACCGCCGCGGTACCAGAGCGCAATTACGGATTTTGAGTGACAGATGCTCGCCCAGTCGGCAGTCGGAAGATTAAAACAAGTAATCAAAGCCCCCGGTAGCCACCCCGGGATGGATATGGATGGATGCATCTCCCCTACCCCCACCAAGCACAACCCTACCGCCACGATCCCACTCTGTCCTCTCTCTCTCTCTGTGTCTCCTCGTTTTCGTGGCCGCGCCACCAACCGTTTTCCCTCCTCCTTTTGCCTGCTCCCTTCCTCATGATCCGGGCCAGGCCTAGGCACACCGACGGTATATATAACCATCCCTCTTTCTCTCTTTACCCTCCCCATTTTACCTACTATAATATCCACCTATCAAGCCGCGCTCTGAATGCTCCTTTAAGAAAATGTTCCTTTTTCGCGAGCGATCCTCTCTCTCTCATCTCTCCTTTGGCTTTGCGGGTTATTAGACGTTTCTCTTTCTCTGGATCTCCCTCTCTCCCTGGATCTCTACCTCTCTCTCTCTCTTTCTCTGTATCTTTCTCTCTCTCTGGATCTCCATCTCTCCCTGGATCTCTACCTCTCTCTCTCTCTTTCTCTGTATCTTTCTCTCTCTCTGGATCTCCCTCTCTCCCTGGATCTCTACCTCTCTCTCTCTCTTTCTCTGTATCTTTCTCTCTCTCTGGATCTCCATCTCTCCCTCTCTTTCTCTGGATCTCCCTCTCTCCTTCTCTCTCTTCGGATCTTTCTCTCTCATTCTCTTTCTTTAGATCTTTCTCTCTCTAGATCTCCCTTCCTCTTTCTCTGGACCTTCTCTCTCTGTCTTGCTTCTGTACTTGTGTACCAACCCCTCTTCTTTCTAACGCAGAAGAAAGGACGGTTTGCGATGGTTGAGGGAGAGTATAAGGGAATAAACGAAAGAGAAGAGAGTGAAACGAGACGAGCGAGAGTGTTCTCTATTTCACGAGAGAGAAACGATAGAGGAGGATGATGCCTCCTCCTCTTTGACGCGCGCGGCTAGCTTCGATCGCCAGCTGACAATAACCGACCGGTTACCTCCTTTTTACTTTCTACGCTACTTGTAGTACTATTACTCTCCCCTACTTATGTACTTACTTTCTTCTTCTCCTCTCTGCATACGTACATACCTCGAGGTAAGTGGGTTGTTGTTCGATTCACACACGGCAATTGGGAAGATCTTGCTACTCAGGTCTGTGGAAAAGAGAACTTTTTCTATAATCTTTCGCCTGATTTTACGAATGATTTTATTCTAAAGATAAATCTTGGAAGAAAATCAGACCTCGAGGTACCAGCTAGTATTTTTCCAAACACGCTATAATCTTTGTAACAATTGGACTGAGGATACGCTTGCAGGTAATATCAAGGTAGAAAATTGCACAGAATGCGCGTAATGTGAATAAATATAGTGCTTTTCTACAGAACTTTCTACAGAAGTTCTACTATTTTTTTCTTCACTCCATTCTCGAAAACGGAAATTTTCACAAAAATCCGCAGTCTGGTGATAATCTTATCTTACCAATAAATCTTCGAAGAAAATCGGACCTTAAGGTAGCAACTGAACGAATGGTACAAACACCGTCGTATTTTTCCACTTAATCTCCCTTTTCTTACCATCGATGGTTCTAATTTCCAAGTTCTTTAACTTTTGTTGAAATAAGGGAATAATTGGATATACCAATTTATTTCTCCATCGATGACTCTAATTTCCAAGTTCTTTACATAGTCTTATCTAAACATACCAGAAGGGAAAAAATTGATCACGTTCAACTATGGTTGGTCTAGTGTTAAGGTAGCTTAAGCGTTAGTTACAGACAACAAGAGGGAGCAATTAGAACGAGAAGCCGTACCACTCGCAGCCCCAACAATCGCAAGCGGGGGCGGAACAAACCGGCGGCGATAGGCGACTAAGAAGTCGATTAGAGGAGGAAAATCCGGCGACGACATAATCCGCGTTCATTCGTAATTGAACGGACGTTACTGAACGCCGCGATTGGCCAGCTTCGAGAACAGTAGAATCGTCGAAAGTTGTTAAACAGAGTGGAACGAAAAGAAAATACGAATTTAAGAAAAAAAAGAAAAAGAAAGAAAGAGGAGGGTAAACGAAGGATTGGTTCATTTTCGTCAATTCTTCCAAAGGAACAGGGGAGGATAGAAAAATCGTCTTTCACTGTAGATTTTCCACTCGAAATTCAACTTTGTGCAAATGAAATTCGCCATTTTGCAAATCAAATTCACCATTTTGTTTATACTCCGATTCTAACCTGAAATCGTCATTTACAAGAAATGACCGTTTCCCGTAAATTGTAAGAGTTCCAATTAATTCCAACTAATTCCAAGAATTCGAGTTAAATTGTCGATATAACTGAGGCCTGTCTAAAGACTGGTCGTTTAGCAAAAAAATAGAATTGCCTCCGATTTTACACTTCGCCGCACAAGAGTAAGACGGTAATACTGAGTTTGCATGTGGTGGACTAGTATTGCGACACGTTTTCAAATATGTATGTTCTTCTTTATCATTAAATATCTACATGCAGTAGATACATAATTATGAATTCCACGTGTAACGTGTTGGTAATTACTATTGAACGATGTATCTCGTGTACATCTTTGTGTTACGTACAATAAAATTTTCAATTTCTCAACGATCGATTTACGTTCGATTTTATTCTCATTGCGAAAGCTCGTGGGAGAGAATTTTGTGGAAAAAACTTGATTTGCAAAATGTTGAATTTGCGTAAGCGTTTTTCTGCTTACCTTCAGACATGCACACACGATTTCCAGCTAGTTATTCCAGCATTTACCATACCGTGTTCTGTTCCCCCTTTTTCCCCGGTAACCCCGCGTGGAAAATATCGCGACAGGGAACAACGATGTTGTAACGAAGATACACGCGAAACACGTGAAAAATTCTCCACGTTTCACATGGTCGAGAACTGAATAGATTTGACCGTTAGAATACGTTTTCACGTTCCTATCATTCGACGTATGGACGATAGATGGATGGATGGGTTCTGACCTGTCTGTTCGATGGATGTGTTACGATATTACGATACATCGATGGGTGTGAAAGTCAATTCACGGTAGTCTAAAGGAAACACACAGGAATACGTTTAATCTGGAGATTTTTTTCTTTTTTTTTTTTTTACCGCTCGTAAAAAGGACTTAGATTGGATTTTACAATACGAGAGGATAGGAGATGAGTCGTTTATCTCTGGTGTCACTTCTATTCTACGCTTTACCCGCCTCACTTACTATCCCCCACTCTTCTCTGGTTACTATAAGCCCCCTCTTGTGGCCGCGTCACATGTCTTTCTCGGGAAATAATAAACTCTGTGTTTAATAAATTCATCGCGGTGTGTACGGCCTGATCGAGTCCGAGAATCGCAACGTCTCGTTTCTCGACGACGAAAAACGTCGAACAGTGTTCGATGGTCACTTGGAACAGTAAAGCCTTGAACTGTACGCGTAGATTATTTAGATAAGGATTCTCATATTAGCAGAGAATGTTGAATATTCGAATATGCGTGGGATATTTAAGAGAGACTGCTTAAAAAACTATGACAATCAGACTGTCTGATCGATTCTCCTCTCTTTGATAAATTCAAGGGGAAATGGTGGTTTTTGTAGGGGAAAAAAAAACGTGGGGAAGTAAAGGTAATCCAGAACGGACTTTCAGAGATTTGACCCGCCGCTGTTACTTCCATCGCCACAAAGAATCAAATTAACCAGGACAAGATTACTGTTCCCCTTCTACACAGGCTTTTCAGGCTCCACCCTTGAATACTCTATATATGACACGCGTGCATACACGAGAAGACCGTTCACGCACCTTTTTCTTCCCCTCTTACTTTCAATTCGAACACCGCGGGCCCTTCTTTGCCTCGAATTGAGAGTAAACCCACGACCTTGTTCCTGAAAATATTTCGTCTGCAAATTACACAAACTATTCCGAGTTTTCGTTCTTATTGCGTAGCGATTTGATGGTACGCGTTACATAGAGAAGGGAAACTACTATGACAAGTAAATAAAAACGAAAACTGATTAAAATTAAGTGAAAAAGTATAAGAAACAGATTGTTCTATTTTCGAAATATTTCAGGATCGGTACTGATATTTTGTTTATGTTACTTTTTATTACAATACATTATATCTTAATCACATATGTAATATGTATATGTTTAATTTACTGACTCAAAGTACTCTTTACTATCCTTTGGATTTGGCTTAATGGTCTTGGAATCAGGTTGCCAATTTGCAGGACAAACTTCTCCATGTTTTTCAACAAATTGAAATGCCTTAATAAGCCTCAATGTTTCATCTACACTTCTGCCTACTGGTAAATCATTCACACTGAGGTGTCTCAGTATTCCTTCTTTGTCTATAATGAAAAGACCTCGCAATGCAATTCCAGAATCTTGGAGAAGGACGTTATATTTAGCTGATATTTCCTTGTTGAAGTCACTAAGAAGAGGATAACCCAAATTGCCACCTAGTCCACCCTGTTTTCTTGGCGTTGTAGTCCATGCCAAATGGCTGAAGTGGGAATCTGTAGAAGCTCCAATTACTTGTGTATTCAGAGCTTTGAACTCTTTAATTTTTTCACTGAATGCTATTAACTCAGTAGGACAAACGAACGTGCTACAATAAAAAATTTAGATTTATTTTCAAGAAAAATATTAGTTTCTCTCTAATGGCTATACATTAACAACTTACAAGTCTAAAGGATAAAAGAAAAGAACAACATATTTTCCTTTGTAGTCACTCAGTTTTATCTCCTCGAAACCACCGTCGACTACAGCAGTTCCAGAAAATTCAGGTGCAGGTTGCTGGATCTGAAGTTGACAGGAAAACAGATTGGTACTAACACAAAAGTTGCGAGCGTGTTCTACTAATGTTGGGTGTTTAGTTTTCACAAAAGATGACGTTGCAGCAAACACCTACGAATAAGAAACATCAAGTAAATAAAAAAAATCTTGCCCCTTTTTATTTTAAATTTCTATTTATTGGAAATTATTTAAATTTCCTTTATTAGGTTAAACAACTTACCGCTTTGCAAGTCTGAGGACGCAAACATGCTAGCAATCGAAGCATTATTAATGTGTGAATGCAAAGATATTTAAATAAATGAGAAAAATATTCAATCGAAGTAAATAGCGAGATTACTTTTCTGAACAATAAATATGGAATGGATAAATCGTATTCTATTCAGTTTTCAAAGAGGTTATATAACTCACTTTCCGTGCAAATAGTTTATTTTAATAAAAGATCAATTAAAACAATTATGAAACTTGTTACATTTACTTCAATCACGTTTAGGTCTATTCAAGCGTAAATTATTAGTGAAAAACGATTGTTTAAAATGTTACGAAATATTTTCTCGTAAGACTGGAATACTCCTTTCGTAAGATGTTAGAGGGGGCGACTATTGCCGAAGCAAAACTTCAATTTGATCTTTCAAATCACAAATATTTCGGTACACTGACTCAAACAATTAGAATCAATCATGGTGGTTCAATTAAATGCAGTATTAATCAATATAACCATATTTTATTCAAATAACAATATTATAAGTTTTGTGTTCGTTCTTATTTATGGTTTCTGCTACAATGGAAAATATCACACTATTTATCGATAAATAGCATTTAGCTTTCTAATTAATTGATGATTTGTAAAATTTCTTCATTATCGGTGAAACCAGATACACGTTGGAAATAGAGATTTTTACTTCCGATAATATTCGTAACTTGTCCAAAGCTGCGTTAGATATTACTTCCAATCAAAAACGGTCAAGTTTCTTTAGCTGCTCCTTAGTTTTGAAGAACGAGAACGGAGAGCTTAAATTCTTGCAGATAATGTGGAGTAACACAAACATTTTTCATGTTATAACTTTAACGTGTACATCGTACTCGAAGCTTTACTAGTAAAATATGATACACAAGTCTGCTTACACCATGTAGGACACAGAGGCCACGTGGTGCCTTGTGCACGCAAATTCTTTCGCTATCTATAGAGCAGAGTTTTTAAAAAACTGTCATTCATACGACAGAATTATTGACCTACGTAACCGCGATTTGACAATTATCTCTCTTTTTTTGTTTTCTTCTTTTTCTAATTGGAAGCCTTTGCAGTTGCACTGGGGGTAGGGGTTGTAGCGGACGCCGATTCTTCTGTAACAATTCGGCGATTTTTTTTTATCCTCTTCCATTCGCCGTTTGTATAATTCATTTGGAAATGAGTCTCAACTAACATGGGTACGGTTGTTCCATCCGGTTGAGTCACTTCTTCTATGTTCTCTGAGAGCATTACTGTGACTATATTACCCAATTTTGGGCAAGGATTATCTAAATACATAATACAAAATAATGAATAAGCGTATTCATGATAAGAGGTGCTTGATAATATTCAAAATGGATACACACCCCTCGAGCCAGCCATAAAACCGAGAATAAGAGCTTTCTCCGGTCGAGTTACTTTGTTAGCTGTTCTAAACATTTCTTGTGCTTCCAACATTTGTTCTCGCTAAAAATGCGACAAATAAATTAATAATTTTAAGATTACAATTTTTCTTATGTTATAAATATTTCTACACACCGTAAGGGACAAGCCCTTTCTTGTATTTGCGGCCGCATTAGCAGGTTGTGCGGTAGTTTGTATACGAATCTGCGTAACTGTTTGAGCTGGTCGAACTGTTTGCACTCCAACAGGTGTACTTTCCACTGGTGTAATAACCGTTGGTGTCGCAACAGGTAGAACTGTACTTGGAGTTGCTGGTGTACTTGGTGTTGTAGCTGTATAAAAAAAAAAAAAAATTAATGATTGATGAAACATTGCTACGATGAATTATATGAAAACGTACGGGTTTGTGGTGTCGTTACTGCTGATACTCCACTCGGAGTAGTAGGTGTTACATAAGACTGTACAGATGTCACTGGGGTGATTGGAGTAGCAGGTGGATTAATTGAAGTTAAACCCTGTGCATATTCTGGTGTAGTTGATGTTTCTGTTGTAGTCGTAGTCGTCGATGCTGCAGCAGCAGCTGCTGCTTGAGCTTCTGCAACTTTTTTTTGTTGTTCTTCCAATTCCATCATTCTCTTTCGTTTTTTCGCTTGAGCATAGCCAAGTGGTTGTTCATTAATATCTAACAGTTTAATACCACCATCTTTACGCATTCTATTACTAAGAGGTGTTCTATTAGGCATTGAAGAACTTGTAAGCGAAGGAGACCGAAAACCACCTGTAGGAACTCTACTGGGAATGCCTTTCAAAGGTGCTGAAAATAATATATTGTTTTATATTTTCATATTCCTTTTGTTTCTCTAAAGTAACACTAACTATCATCCCATGTGTAAACTCACTTGTATCAGTCATTTTTCTAGGCATTCCTCTACTCCTCACAGGCACTGTAGGAGCTGTACTCTTTTTTAAATTACTTGCTGCATCTGTACTCTTTTGAAGCAACTCTGCTCTTAATGCAGCACTTTTTGGTTTTCTTTTTAGGGTGAAATGCTTAACTGGTGTAGGTTGTTGACCAACCACTGAAGTAAGTGCAGTCTTATTAAGATAGTGACATTCCAATGGAAGCATAGCCGGATCATTTTGCTTTTTTAAAAGTTTTCGAAGGTCATTGACTAGTTCTCCAAAGATAGGCCTATGCTCATCTAAATCTGTGATGTCTGTATTCAAAGAACCCGTTGAGGGAAATGTTTTCATCGCTTCGGATAACATTGATACCCATAACTCACTGTCCAATGATGCCACCTCGATAATTTCTTCCAATTCAACACGCCACTGCAAAATTTAAAAGAATTATGTACCAAAAAGATATATTTATAACACAAGCATTTTTTGAAAGAAGGATTAACAGAGATTCATAAATATTAACATTATTTAGCTTTATAAGCAATATTGGTTACATATAGGATATGATTATTTACTAAACGTTTCAAAAACATCTAATGTCTAAATAAAAATAAATAAATACTTCGTAGAGAATGTATAATAATGATTAAATATTCAACACCTTCAAGTCGTTATTGCAAATTTCAGAATTTGTATTTTAAGAAAAGCTTCCGCCACTTTTTCACGCTTTAAACATTTGTAATAAACAAACTGCCTTACCTCCTCAACATTCCGTCTCGGTATGTGAAAAAATGAAAGAAGTAATTTAAGTTTAACTTGCGTTTGAAGATCTGGAAAACAGTCTTTAATATTCCGCAGTACTTCTGCGTTAAGTTGTGAACAAATTGAACTTCCAGTCCAGCTATCATTTGACGTTCCAAGCTTGTTATGAAGCCACAACGACGTATCACTATCCCTCACATTCGCCATATTGGAGTCGTTTGTTTCATACATTTGACGTACATTGCCGTGGTGCGCCACATGTTATTCCCGCCATATGTAATATATACTTCATAGAGGTACATTCAGCTACAAAAGATACCTTCGTTAAAAAATTTACCTTGTAAACCAATAAAAATAATTTAAAATATAACTTTTTATTTTCGCGAATTATTACTAAATATTATTTTACTTAACCCTATCAAAAAATATCACTGTTTCACTAAAAACTGTATATTGAAAACAATTTTAAAAATATTCAGAATGAAATGAAAATTAACCATTACTTTCGACAAAGGATTTTTCTGCACATACAAATAACATCTTTTAGGCATAACGTGGTTTAAGTTTGATTTTGGTTTATTGTGACAAGATATTCAGTAAATAAATTTTACAATATGACCAGTGCAAATGGATTTTCGGATTCACAAGAATCTGATTTAGTGAACGAAGAAGACATGAAAGTATTGGAAAAATCTATGTGAGAAACACAATTTTGTTGCAATATTCTCATGTACTTTAATATTTTAATTCCTCTTCTGTTAAACATGATTTATATGTTTTATCATTCAATATAGTGGCTGCATACCATCATATTGGATACAAAATATAATAGACGATAAAATTGAAGAAAACTACGATTTAGAACAACAATATCTAGAAGAAAATAAACCAATAAAAGATGAAGATGAAGAACAATATTATCGAGAAATTGACTCTACCCCTCTACCCTCAAGAATCCCTGTAAAGGAAGAGTTCCCCGGTCGACATAATTTTCAGGTTTCACTGGGTAATCAGGATAGCAGTAAACATTGGATTGTAAGTATATAATTGAATTATTAATTGATTATTCATGACAACGATTTAAGTTATTGTAATGTACTTCCCTTTATTTTATGTAGTATTCTCAAATATTAAAGAAAGTATTTATTAATATGGAAGAAACACTGCCACTACGTTTGAAGTGGGATCCTCCTGAAGGTGGTTTACTTCTACGTACTGCCATGGTTTTTAGTTTAGATCAATATGCTGGTGATCCAGTCAGAAGATGTCATAATCACACAGCACCAAATAACTCAAGTAATAGAGATGTAAATCTAAGAGTAATTAAACATGTTGTCCGTTGCACGGATTCGACTAGCATGTATGAGGAAAGAAATGAACATTTGTCTGTAGTGACACCATTGCATAGACCACAACCAGGTTCACAATATGTGCCAGTGTGTTTTAAGTTCTTGTGCAAAAATAGTTGTCCATCTGGCATGAATCGTAGACCAACTGAATTAATTTTCACTTTGGAGAATAGTGAGAAAACAGTTTTGGGTCGGCGAAGACTTTCTGTTAGAGTTTGTAGTTGTCCCAAAAGAGATAAAAAGAAGGAAGAAGCTGAAGTACTAAAAACACAATCTAATGTCAAAAAAATAAAACTTAATGTGCCAGTTGGGAAAAAGATGATGCCTTCTTGTGATACACATGTTTTTAGTGTTCAGTTAAATGTAGTTGGGAAAGAAAACTATTTGTCAGTGCTCAAATATGCATATGACATCATGGCAGGTCAAGCAGCACGAACTGGACAATTTGAATTTTTTAAACCATATATGGATGATATACTACGCAAAACTCCATAATTCATAATTTGCATTAATTTTATGTCTTTCATATAATGTTATATGCTTTAAAAAGCAAAAAACTTATGTCCTAATGTTATGTATTTTGTATTTGTATCTTACAAATTTAACAGTGCATGTCTTTAAAGTTACATTTTACTCAAACACCTTGTTGTTTTTAACATGAAACTATGCTGTTTTTATATGAAATGCAGTTTATAATACATATTAATACTATTTACGTATGTATTAATATAATTAACATTGTGATATTTCTATGTTAATATTTTATACTAGAATAAGAAGTGCTTGTTAATTTTTAATCTTATAATAATAAACAATTTTATTACTTTTCTATATTTGATATGTGTTTTATATTTCTAGCTGTTCATGTAAACGACATTTTATTAATTGAATGTCCAATGTATGCAATAACAAAGCATTAGGTAAAGGTGCAGTGTGTTGTGATGATAACACCATAGGATTTACAAGGCTTGCAACACTTCTGCGTATTTTTATTTCAGTACCATTTTGCCCTTGAGCATACAAACTCCATTCCCATATAATTTTCCCTCCTATGGTACTACTGATCCAAATAGTTTCATCTTCACACTGTATATTTATGATTTATAGTATTATAACTTTTTTACACGAAACAAACAATATTATCAAGACAGAGAAATATACCTGAAAGAAAAATAACTCCTCTCCAGAGTGTAATATATAAACAGCTTCTGAACCAAATGGAAGAGGCATTGGAAGCTTTGCATAAGGAGAATAAAAATGTACTTGTGGTATTTTATGAGTTTCACTCAAATGTTCCAATACTACATCAGATGTAATGTTTTCTTTACAGCCACTGTGCTTTGAAAGAGGACATGTTATTTGATTAGAGAATACAAAATCCATAGAGTCTCCCCAAACTGATGTAGGTGATATGTTAGACATTAAACTATTAGTACTTGATATTGCTGTGCCTGTTGCATTAATTTGACCGTTAATAACATTCGTAATAGTTTCTCTTGATAATTCTCCAGTACTTGCAGATTTCGTTCGGTCGTACAAATTTAACCGCTCATCAAAATTTAAATTACTTATTGACGCATCATCTTCGTTTGATGGTTCGTTGGGAACTACTGTTAAATTGTCTGCTGAGGCAGCTTTTCCCAATCCCCCACGAAACAATTTATTTAATAACAATTGACGCGTTTTCAGATTTGTACCGTTATTTTTCCCTGTTACCCTCATGACTTCATTCTTTTTATTCTTGCCAAAGAGCCGATCTCGAAGATTTCTCGTCTGACATTCTACGTTATCGGATAAATTATCCTTTATGTTGAAAACGTCACGAAATATTTTATGTAATTTGTCCGCGAGTAAACATCTACCTCGACCCAATCTAACTCTGCAAATTGGACAGCGAAGTGTCCTCGGTCTACATCCGACGCAAATGATGTGACCGTGTATGCATTGAGAGACTGGAGGCAATGAGCTTTCCAAACAAACTGGGCATTCCAAAGTTTGTACCTATATAAACATAGTAATTATTTCTACAAAATATAATGCATTCATTTAAAAAATTTTTAGAGAAAAATTGTTTAATAAACAAATTCTTCAATAAAAATTAAAATACCCACAACTCCAGAAAGTGCATTTGCAAGCTTACTAGCCACTTCTGACAATGGTCCTTTTACAGCTACCCCTGTCTCTTTTCGTTCTTCTTCCTCATCAATGCATCTCCAAATAAACAACTTTAAATTACATTCCTGATAATGGTGAATCAATGCTGCTATTTTTTTTATCTTTAATCCTATTAAATCATGTTCACCAATGTTAATTAAACAATCACCAGCTCTAAAATACAATAAAATTATTTATTTAACTACTACAGTAGATACATGTCTATCTTTTGATTTTACTTTTTATTCTTACTTGAGACCTGCAGTATCAGCGAGACTACCGATTTCAACGTAACTTATCCACGGATAAGGATCCCACTTTGATTTCGTTAGGTTGAACCCACAAGATTTACCAAGTGCTTTAGTTTGTCTTATATTTTCTAATGTCACACAAATTTTACTAGTAAACGCTGAGTCAATCAATGTACAGTCTTTTGTCTTATAAATCCTGACACCTGCTGCTTCAGTTAAAAATTCTGAAGTAGATATAATGGACATATTTCTTCCTCAAACTTTTTTTATTTTCCGAATATCTTTATTTAAACTTAACTAACGTTTGTAACAATCATTGAACTATTATTTACAGCATAAAACAGTTTCTTTTAAAACAAAATGAACGCGCCGATTTATTTTCATAATTGTACTATCAATTATATTAACTTAAATTTTTATGCTGGGCGAGTAAATACTATGGTCTTTACATGAACTGCGCGATAATGAAACTGTTTGAGTTTGTTCTTTAAGGAAGGTAAAACTCACCTACTGGTTTACCTTCACCTAATTTCATGACCTTGACATTTATTCCATAATGAAACAGTAACCCTACCTTTTCCTTTTACTTTGACATTTCTCAACATACACTGTTTTTGTTTTTTTACTGGACAACATAAATATGTTTTTTATTGAAATCAATTTCTTAATAACAATGATTTAGGTATTCATATGAGACTATTTTTTGTTCTTTATTAATATATCTACATGTGATAATTTGAAATATTTGTTCAATTCTAACTTAATCCAATCTATGTCTCTGTGTGTGTATGCGCGCGCCCGCGCGTGTGTGCGTGTGTGTGTGTAATAATGCAAATGACCTCTTTATGTAAAGATTCTGAAAAATCTTTAATATAGTAGAGTATTATATTTAAAAGTCTTACAAACATGATAATTATTTGTTTCTACCTAATATTTAGTAAGAAGGTAAACTCTCCCATATCACTGACTTGGAAGAACGTACAATTGGATTGTCAGTAAGAGATTAAAAATATATCCTATACTAATGAATTAAAATGCATCTGATACGTTTCAATAATGGTTGATAAAAAAATTCCTGTGAGTCTTTGATCAATGATAATAATGTTTCTGGTAAATTATTGATATAATATATTGAGACACTGATTTAATGTGTGTAACGTAGTATGTGCTGTTGCTTTAAGTACTAGCAAATCAGGGTCCAGGTTTAAACTAGAGTTCTCAATGGTTTGTGCTAATGCAATATTGTGCTTTTCTACTTTCCTTAATTGTTCTTGACAATTAGCAAAAGCATCTAAAACTTCCAATTTGGCAACTGGGTTTCTATTGGAGTTAGCGGAATGATCTCTTGGAGGTAAAGGAGGATGACTGCTGGCTATTGCTCTAGTATACATTTCTGTAACAGCTCGTAGTTTGTCAACCCATTCTTGACGAGCGCGGGCGTCTGTAGCTCTCAATTTAATCATATCACCTGCATTAATGCATAAATGCTGTCATAAATATTATATTTTAATTATTATACTATATGGGTCTGTAAATGGAGATATATAACAGTGGATAATTTATTTTAAATACCTGTAGCAGAATTGACAGTAAAGGTATTGGAATCTTCATCACTTGGTGCAATCACTGCACCAGCTAAATATATTGAACATCGTGGTCGTTGATTTTTTTCGGATTCACTCAAAAAATAATGCAATTCACCAGTTTCAGGACTAAGGATAAACCAACGATATTGCCATCCTTTCATTGCATTGGTATACTTATGTAATAAACCCTCATAAGGGTGCCTTATTTGAACGTTCATCATTTATTGTTGTTATTATTTGGAAGCCTCGTATTATTTAAATCAGACAGTTGCTAATAGCAATCTGTCATCTGAACTGACACATCAAGGAAGGTTAGTCAGATGATTGTAAGATAGGTTAGAAAGGTACATAATCAAAATATCAACGGTAATAGTTAGCTAAGAGTTCTGAATTTTTTTAAAATTATTTATTTACAACAGA